GGAACAGTGTCAGTATTGAGAGCTTTTATCCATGAAAACAGGGTAATATTTATGTATAGGATGAAAGTGTTGTTAAGCTTACACTAATAATGCTTTTAAACTCCTTCCCAGCCTGGGGCAAGAACAGACACACTGCTGATTACACCAAATAAATAGTAATCAGTAGAAACTAATTTGCCAAACATTAAAAGTGCATCTTGCTAAAAGCATATCCACACCTTTCTTTTATCCATGAAAACAGGGTAATATTTATGTATAGGATGAAAGTGTTGTTAAGCTTACACTAATAATGCTTTTAAACTCCTTCCCAGCCTGGGGCAAGAACAGACACACTGCTGATTACACCAAATAAATAGTAATCAGTAGAAACTAATTTGCCAAACATTAAAAGTGCATCTTGCTAAAAGCATATCCACACCTTTCTCTGGCAAGGACTTCCCACAAAGCTGTCAAATGTGGTTATAGTCCTGGCCCTCACCTAGTGACAGCCTAAACACTTCTCCAACCCCCTGTGTGATACACCTGCACTTCAGCCCATCTGGTTCCAGCCCTGCACTCATCTAAGGGATCTTGACATTTATTTCTTTAGCACTTTCACAGGTCCACTCGTGCTGATAATGCATCAAACTGGCCATTATATATGACACCCAGTTCATTTTTCTAATCAGACCAGAGAACAGGGAGCTGAGGAGTTGGCAACAATTACCAAAATCCAATTTTTAACATGGCTTTAGTTTCTCTCCTGTGCTTTGGAAAATGGAACTATTATTTCCAATCATTTCTCACGGAGTTCTCTCGCACTAAAGCAACATAAATAACTACAAATGCATCCCTACAAAATGCAGCTGCCTATAGGATGGTGGTAAGACAGATGGCAAGCCCTATAAAAGCTGTTGAAAAGCTGCAGGATACTGAAGTCACATTGAAATCAACACAAAAAATGTCAGTAATTAAAACAGGACAATGATGGCAGCCCTGGTACCCTTGATAAAAACAGAGTAGTTGGTTGAAAAGTCTTTTGGGGTTAGCTTGAGATAATATAGCTCAAATTTCAGCCCTCTGGCACAGATTTTCTGGAGGACCTTGAACACATCTGACAGGACCTCCCTGTGGCTGCACTGTGCTGGCAGCACAGACAACCACCTCAGCTGCTCTGAGAGCTGCTGCTGGAGGGCTGCAGATGTGCTCATGGCCAAGCCCTTACCTGTGCCAGCAACGCTAGTGAGGGTATAAAACATCTACATTTAAACCCACTCACTCATTCTGAGCAGAGAGAACTGGGATTGCTCCTGGGAACAGCACAGCCAGAGGCAGGATGCAGCAGGAAGCTCTGGCAGGAGGCAGGAGTGAGCAACTCCAAATACTGACATTTCTTCTTCAGCACAGCTGTCTGTAAGCTGCACATCTGTCTACATGTTGAGATCTCCCTAACTGAACAGCCACAGCAGCCTTGAACTCAGCACAAGCTGCAAAGCCCATGGAAGTGCTGAGGAAGGTCCTGCTCAGCCCACACAGAGCTCTGTCCCAGCCCAGCTGAACTGGCAGGAGGGACAAACCTCCTTAATTGTAAGCTATCCAATGCTCTGAAGTACACTGACAACAACCTTTTTGTTTGTCTGTGCTTTACTCACTTCTGAGAGAAGTGGGGCCAAAACCTTCCCTGCACAATGAGAGAAAGACTGAAAGTTCATCAGGCAACACAGTGATGGCAACTGCAGAGCTACTTTAAAATATAAACACAACCTTGAACTTCAGCATAAACAGAACTTAAGCAGAGGCTTGAAGTTCTTTGCTGAATCAATATAGCAACACCATTATCTTTACATCTAGGAATACTGAGCCCAATTGTTTCCTCCTTGATGTTTGCATAACCAACAAATACAAGTCAAGGGAGTTTTCTATTGATGCCAGACTGATTATATTTTTAGTTCTGTCAACAAGCTCTGACAAAAGACCTCAGGCAAGTCCTGCAATGGTTCTGTGCCTTAGTGCCTTTCTTTTTCATACCATAAGCAGCACCTCCCTCACAACAGGGTTTCAACATACATTATCTTTGATGGGCTCTGTAGAGCTCTGATGGAAACCTCCACAAAACACACAAGGCTCTTAAACAAATGTCCAGACTATTTGAAAATGGAGCTGCTGAGGTCAGCTTACTGCTTTGAAAGGCTTAAAAAGCTCTTTGGTGGAAAAAGAATGGAAAATGAAGGACACAAGGTGAAAAGACCCTGACAGTTTCCTCTTGGACAAGGTGGACCTAGTCCAAAAATTCTTTATACTTTCTTTTCCTCTCTCCTCTCCCAGAGGTGGGTTTCTATTGTGTATGTGTTGAATGGTAGGTTGGCTGGAGCTAAGCCAAAGAGAGGTAGATGGGCTGCCTTTGTGGTTGGAGGAGGGAGGGAGGGAAGGATTTCCTACTGCAGAACAAAGCTGAGTTTGTGATAACAAACCCCACGAATGTGCTGACTATTTCAAACACTGACTGATTTCTGCACATGGAGGGGTTTGTGCAAATACTTAACATTTGGGGAAAATACCTGAACTCAGTAATGTTGTCCTTTCTGGACAACTCCTTTCCATGGTCCTCAGAGAAATGGACAAGAAGAATCTTTTTTTCTTTCTCTCTCTCTGTGTCACTTTCCTTTTCAGTAAGTAAAAATAATAATAAAAAATAGCATAGGCTGGAGTAGGGGCTAAGCATTTGGAAGAAACTGTGAACTTCAGGTTGTTCTTGCAAGCTGACAAACTGCTCTGAACACTGAAAGAAAGATGCTGTTCCAAAGTACACTCACCATTAGTATGTCTGCTGTGATAGCCCAGTTTGAAAACAGAAGAGTTTCTCCGATAAAAATGCAAATCTGTTGTAACAAAACACACAAAAAGGAGAAGATTTATTCACTTGACATTCAAAGGAAAAATAACCTGTCACAAACTTTGCTTTGTTGCTTATTTGTCTCATACCTACACAATACACTCCTTGTTACTGTTGTGGTTTATCCTGAATATTAGCAAACCATAGACCTGTATCAGAGCTCTGAAGTTGACCTGCAACTTCATTAGAGTAAACTAACTAAGTTTATAAGCTACAGAGCAGCTAAATAAAAGGCTGACCTGTTTGCTTATAGAAGAACATGAGAAAGAAGCAAGAGGCAGCCCCAGGCTTCCATACTTAGAATCATTAAGGTTGGAAAAGATGTTTAAGATTATCAAGTCCAACTTGCACCATTCTGTTCCACAAAGCCACTCAGAAAAGGCAGGAAAGCCATAACTCCCCAAAACACAGTTATTTTCCTCACTAGGAATCAAGTTATGTGCTAAGCTCTGTAGCAAACCAGATGAGGTTCTCTACCCACTATGTGGAGGATCCTTCCCTCCCCTGATAGCATTACATGGGTAATGTCTATGTGCAGTCAAGACTGGCATGAAGTATGGGCTTTGTAACACCAGTGTTTTGTGGTGTAATATAACTCTTGACTCTGTGGAGATGGTCAGCAAGATATTTCAAAAGCCAAGGAACTGCAAGAGTAGCAGCTATGGCATGATGTGACCACTGCCACTGTCTTTCCCACATGCTGGTTAAGATTGCCTAAACCCCTCAGACCATCATGTCACTGCCAGGAGTAATTTGCTTTATTTAGTAAGTCTTACACACTGAGTAACAGAAAGCTTCCTCTATTTGTTTCTAAAATTGTCTTTGTTTCCCACATGTTTTCCCTCCCTATCCCCTCTTTCTGTGACTTGATCTGCTTCCTCTGTGCTGCTGCCTGAGCCCCTTGTTACAGCCCAGCTGGTCAGCTAGGAAATCTCCCTTTCCATTTTCCCAGTCCACTGCTCTGCCTTGAACTTGGCTTTCACTGGAAATGATAACTGCCAAGATGACACAGATCCAATGAACCAAGGTGCTGATAGGAGTTGAAGCCACATGTCACATAGCAAGGGCTTACCAGAGCTCCAGGTGGGATCTCAGGACCTGCTTGATATTTGTGCTGCTACAGCTTTGCAGCTGCTGCTGCCTGAGCTTCTATGGCTGGGTGGATTAAACTGAGCTTGGGAAGGATGGAATCACACTTCTGAATGTGGCAAGGACATGCTCTGCCTGCTCACACAGCACTGCAAACAGGCAACTGCTTGCCCTGAGGTTACATGAATTACACACACAGAGGAATTGTTACAGGCAGCAAGAACTTGTCCCTTCTGCAGGAATTCAAAGTCCTACAAATAAATCACTGAAATGCAACAAACCTCACAGAGCACCAGACTTGGATTGTTGAATGTGTATTGCACCCAACACACCTCCATGAAACATGTGCTTGATATGTGGCTATTGGTAAAAGGGA